ATAGCAACTTTAAAAACCTATTTTAAAGATTGAATATTGGAATATATCCCAGCATGATAAGTTCTTTGCGTGATTGGATTTCAAACGATTGTATATTCCTCAAAGGGAACAGAGGCAAGGAGCCATTTCCAACATCTTGGCAGCTAGCCTTTCATAATGACCTACCCAATGCAGTTGTTGGTAGATATGCAGTATTTTGTTGTTCACATGTGGAATTAGAAATTTTTGATGTGTACTTTCATTTTTTTTTTTCAAAATAATGGGGTCTTTGACATTTCAGATCACTCCATTTCTACTCCAGAAACTTTGGAATCACATACTACTTTTCATGTGAAATTTTGTTTGGTAAAACTGAATGTAGGGTTTTTTAACCAATGGAATGATTTAATTTTGTCCTGTTAAAGTTCAGATAAAGCTAATTTGTTACATCTGCAAATTTTCATATTTTAGCAGTTGCCTGATAAACTTAATCAAATTTTATTACCTTGTGTAGTGATCAAATGCTTCTTTGGGCTTGCATGTTACTGATTAGAAATACAGTGTAAATGAACTGTTAACTGACGTAAAGAACTGCTATGAATTTGACCAGAGCTGCACTTATCTGTTTCTCTTTCTTGCTACCTTTTGCTGTTTGTTACTTTGTGTTGACTTTGTCCCTGGCAAATTTTTCCAGTCTAAAGTAAAAAGAGTCTCGCATAATATTGTGTAATGTTTAAAATGACAGACTGTTCTTCATTTAGAAAAAAAAATCTTTATCACATGTCCTTTTAAAAAGATAAAACTATCTTGTCAGAGGTATATTGAATATTTTTAAGCTAAGCATCCAACAATAGAAATATAATCTGATGAGTTTAACTTTTGATGTCCTACAGAGACCTTCTGAGGTTTCATTAAAGAGTGGCCACTGTGGTTTTCTAACAGTGACTACTATAGTATAATGAAATAGTTTTTTTTAAATGTGTTCGGCAGTTGGAATATTTTAAAGGTTTCTTCTCCGAGTTGTGAAAGAAGAATTCAGGTTTTGTTACTGAACTAAACTAACAGCTGAGACTGTCCTTTTGTCCAGTTCACATAGTTTCTTGTCCCTTTCACATATTTAAGGTGAGTTAAAGGTGAAGACTGGGCTTTAACCTTTGATTTGTCTTTTGGGCTATAATTTATATGTTTTTATCATTTCAAGAAGAATCTGTATTTTGATGATGGACTGAAATGGCTTGGAATGGCTTACATTTAGTCAGTTTTTGGAAATGTTTTATCAGAAGACCAAATATGAGAAATCTGTACCAAGTATCATGTTATCCCACACGGTAGAGCTGCTGTTACACTGTCAATGAAGATAATACATATTAAACAGATTATGAAAAATTGATGTACACTAGCTGGATTTATAACAGCCACTCTAGGCTGGGTGAAACAAAACATTTTCTGTATCTGCAGCATTCTACTTTTTGTGCTGTGGTCATTAATTCAGAAATAATGATATTGCATTATTAATAAAACATTTGGTTATAAAATTACTATTTCATGAGTTAGGAAAAATGCTGCAAGTTTTTGAATAAAAAAAATCTGGTAAAATGTTTAAGACAATCAAATGGTTTAGACTTGGAAGTTATCTCATATCACTGTAATCTTTGTAGTTTATGAACTAGGTAGAGAAGTCAAAAGAATTTAATTTGAAGACTGTTAAATCTATCGCTCTTAGCCTGTTGCTAACCTTTCTCTGCTTTCATGGCTATTTTAAACCTGAGCAAGATATTCCAGAAATTGTTGCTTTTTCCTCTTATTTCACTCTTAGAAATATTTGAATGCTACTTGTCAAGAACAATAATTATAGGGCAGATTTACCATCTCCTCTGGTGTCATAGCTCTTCTGCTGTGACGACACTTTCCTGCCCCCCCCCCCCCAAGTTGTCCAAATCTGTTCCTGAAGTTTAGGAAAACCCATGTTTCAGATTTTGAGGGCACATTGGGAGACATGTGATATAATCATTCAGGGCAGGAGTCAAGCAGTGGGCATAGATGCTATGGTTTCCAAATTATTTTTGTGATGGATGTTTGAGGTACTTGTCTTAGCTTTATTTTTAAAAAATTCCATCTGCCTAGCAGACAGGAAAAATAAAACAGCCATACTTAAAAAGTTGGGAACTTTTTCTGCAAATATTGCTCTGTTTTCTTACCAAAATTTTAACACTCAGGTTTCTATAACCTAAGAGTTTGTATGAAAATAAACACTGGATAAATCCTAGTTTAATGTTACAACTGTTTCATTCATGCTGCATTGTAGGATAAGTACACATACAAAGCAAGAACTAAGATGTGCAATTATAGAATGTAGGGCTGATAATATTGCTTATTATCCACTAATAATGAGGGGAATTATTGCTGTGTTTTTTCCAGAAAACACAAGATTTAAAATTAGCTAATGGTGCAGTGAAAAAGTATAGGTAATTCTTAAAATAATAATGAAGAGTAGAAAATCTGAAAATCAGAATTTAGTATTTATATTTATTCAGTGGGTCTGTTATGATTTGGACACATCTTTTGGGTAATGGAGCAATTTGTAATTGCTTGTTTGTGAGTTGAGAATCCAGTTTGGAACTGCTTCTACCAGATATTTTTGTAAGACAACAGAGTTTGAGAGTTTTGTTGAGGTAATGGCCTTATTTGAGAGTGGGAAAAGTGTGATTGGGTCAAGAAGTTTAAGAATCATTGTATTAATAGCTCATTGTACCACAAATTACTGAACTTGTTCCTTTATATTGGTTTCCAGATGATCTAAACAACTTGAGGGTATTGCTAATTAAGTTCATTTTAAATGACAAAGATACCATTTTTAGTGGTCCCTCACAGTACTAAGGCAAGTGCATGTAAGGCTACTGTTTTATAGATGAAGAAATCTGATCTCTTATTGGTAGTATATCATAATATTAGTTTATTCATTGGAGTAAATTCAGTGTCAAGAAACAGCAGGCATAGTAGGGTCAGCTATTAGATTTCAGGTTGATGATTTCATAAAAGGCTAAGCAGTGTCAGAGCTTGTACTTGGATGAGAAATCATTTTTTAAAAATCCTGAAATTATAAATTCCATTGAGGCATCCTCCCCAAAAAAACTCCCATGGAAATTGATGGCAAACCACTTACTTTTGCCAACAAAACTACATTAACCTGGCTCTGCAGTCACCAAGAGTTGACTTCAACTTATCTTTTTAACAGCTATAATTTATAGATAGTTAAATTTCCTGATATGTATGAAAAAAATAATGCAGATCTTAGAGCGTATAACTAATAGCATGTGAAATGTAGAATATTTCAAATTGCAGCATGCTGAATCTTATTACAACAGTGGGTTTGGCACCAGGCTAGAAACTGCAAGAACATGAATCCTGATCCTACTTTTAGCATGAAGCAAGCTGGGTTATTTTGGGCCAGGCAAGCCCTCTCAGCCCTAGGAAGAAGGCAGCAATGGCAAACCACTTCTGAAAATATTGCCAAGAAAACTGCAAGGAGTTGTGTATAGGATGTCATCAGAAGTCGAGACTGACTCTCAGACACAAACGGAAAAAAAAAAAAAAGATCTTACTAGGATTGCTGAATTTACTTTCTATCCTATGTAGTTATTATAACCATTTTCCCTTTAAGCAGCCAAGGAACTAGCAATTGGGTTTGTACTGTATGTTAAGCTAAAGTTAAATAAACTTCATTATGAATTACCACAATGCATGAATCCAATCTAACAATGCATTAATGTCAATAGCAGTAGGTGATATAATCATGTCACAATTATGTTTTTGATTCTGATAATCTGATAAATACATGTCTTGGTGTTTATCTGGTGATAGCAAACAGATTTTATCATTTGTATCCCTTTACCCCCTTATGGGTCTGGATACGACTTGAATTGGATAGTGCCCATAAATATACATGCTACTTACTGTAAATCATTGTTACACTGCAAAACCAACTACATATAATCCAATAAGAAGTTGCATCTCACTCCTAGCATGATTTTATTGAGGGAAATAATGTGCAAGGTCTTTCTCCGTTACCATTCATTAAACAATCTCTTGTTTCAGGCAATTTGAATTGTCTGAATAAATCACAATTGGATGGGTTCACATATGCTAAAACACAAAACAAACCATACAATGGCTTAATGCAATGATATGAACCCAATGGCTAGCATATTCAGATGTTAAGTCATTTTACCTGGTGAACCTGACTACCACTACTGTGTCTCCTTTATCCAAATTATTTCCATTTAAGCTCAACTCAGAATATATAATCAACATTGATCACAAATGGCAGTTACTCTAAGTTAAGCCAATATAATTTGTTCTAAAAAAAGCCTCGTTTACTTAAAGAGTTGGGACAAGTTACTGTGTGGATTATGAACTAGGCAGAATGACTTGACTATGTATGAACATTGTTGGTCTTAAAATGGCCTGTAGTTGGTCTGGCTCTTAGGCATCCGAGGTCACATAAACAGAAACACTCCTGAAGAGCTTTTACACTTTATATATTGGGGGGGGGGGATTATCTAAATTGGATGTGTAAATTTTAGCAAAAATGTAATTTTAGCAAATGTAATTTGAGAATTTAAATCATGTATTCTTAGTGTGAATCCAAACCTGGCAAACAGATTACACTAGTTACATTGAATTATTTTAATGTTTTATATGAATAAATGAATGTTTGTATTCATGCTTTAAATTTAGAGAACAGAACAACGGCTCTGTCATCTAAATAGCTGTATTTAATGTTTAAAAGCCTTCTCCCATCAATAAGAATTCTGGAATGCAAACAATTCCAAGTACAATGAAAAGCAATCTATAACTCTAGTGATTTAGTCTTGGGTCTCTAAAACAGAGAAGCAAGAGTGGCTGCTTTTCTTTGTATTTCAGTCCCTAGAAGGCAGAGGGTAAACTGGGGAGACCAAGATTGGGAGAGGTTCATTCTCAGTGCCTGTGAAATAGCTCTGATCTTGCTTAGGCCATCCCACTTTTTTTTTTTAAAGAGCTGTAACTGGCTGTGTTTACACCATTTGGTGAGATAGTTGTAGCTAAACCTGGCTTAGCATGCCGTGAATACCCTATCTAGAGATTAAATAAGGTTTATTTACAAACCAGTGCTGATTGCAGTGTGGATGGCAATTGGTAACTTGCAGTTGAACTTCAGACAGCTTTCACTGCAGCACATTAACCCTTGCTTACTTCAAGAACAGTTTTTTTCCCTTTGGAAGCGTAAAACCCAAGTTCATCAACACATTACTTTGATTGTACACAGCATTTCTACTCAGTCCCTTCAAAGTATGAGCAGACTATTACTTTCAAGATGAATTTGCAAATTCATGAAATAAAATCCCCATCTGTAAAAAGTGAGATTTGTCTTTCTTGACTTCTTTCTCTCAATCTTGTAGCAAGGAAGAACTTCGTGTTTTTAATAAAGAATAAGAAAGTGGTTCTTCCTAAAAATTTTGGGAGGTCTGAATCTTGGGTACTAAGTGGGAGCTGGCTATGGATGACGGGACATGAATCTCTCAGGCAATATAACACAAGTCTACAAAAATTATAAGAAAAGTAAAATTAGCATCAGCTTTGCTACCATTAACTGAATACAGTAAATTAGTCACTTTTAATTAAAGAATATTACAAAAGATGTGCAAAATAACTTTCATGATTAAGTACACATTTAAATGCAACATGCAAACCCACATTGGAGTATAGGTTTTAATTAAGTGAAAAGTTTGGATGCTTTGCAGCTGAATGCATTAAGCCTTCAATAAATTTTGAAGCATGTGTGCAAATGAAATTGAAACTGCTGTAAGGTGATACTTTAAAATTAAGTGGTCGCATACATGTATTCCAAGGGTTTTGAAAAATTAGGCATGTCCCTTTATCACCTTATAGTTCTAAAAGGCATCAATTTAGTGTGTTCTGAATACATACGTCTTGGAGGCTATAGAAGCAGAACCTGGCATCTGTTGCCTATCACAGAACTTTATTATTACCCTTTTCTTTCCCAACTTAAGTACCACTACACAAAGGACTAGATTTTAATAGTATGGAATGATTACATTCTAGATGGAGACAACACAGCCTTGTAAGTCCTCTTTGTTGACACTTCTTACCTGGCAGAATCACTGAGTTCACAGTGCTTGATGTTGGTTGCAATAGAATATTTGGCACCTCTGATACATGACATGAATACCTATTCACAGCAATATGGAAACAGACTTGATCTATTTTTCAGTAATTGCAACTCAGAGCAACTTTGCTACAGTTTCTTTCTGGGAATCAGGAGGAAACAATATCTGTAAAGGCAAAAGCTGCTGCTACAAATGACTGGGGTGCCATTTCCAATTAACCTGCCTGCTGAATCTAATCTGAAAAGTCTTCAACTCATCAAAACTCTACTAACTTTTCTTTCCAGCTTTATAAGGTGGCAGGTACTAAGTTTCATGATACTTAACAGGGAGAACCCTCATATAGAAACTTGAAGAGGAAAAGAGCAGCAGCTGCCAAAGTAACACTTACAACCAACTGTGGAGAGCTAACATTATCAGTCCTTTGCCTTGTTCCAATTGTTGGCCAGGTCAGTCCCATCTTGAAGAGTGCCATCAAAATAGTACATCAGAAGTTGTCTCTTCAACAGGAGAAGAATTGGGATGGGGATTCTGATAACTTCCCCCACCAAACCATACTTCCAACAGTCCAGTCAAAGTTTGTCATCAGTCATTTCTAGAAACTGAGCGTAGACATCTCTGGAGCACTCCCCTTTTTGATTGAATAAAAATTTGTAGTAACTGCCATCTGCACAGATTGCTAGAAAAAGAGGGAGACGGAGGCTTTTCAAATCATTACTATGAAAACAATTATAGAAATCACACATTTGCAATGTAAGGTGTGAAGAAGAAGAAGATGTCAGCATTGAGCATCAGCAAACATCAAGTTAAATTCTCAGGGTTATTTATACTGACCTCCATTTTACTGCATGGCTTGCTCTATCCTAACAGCTTGATAATTCATGTAACTTTTTATATTGGACTCTCAGACTTCAAATATGTGTGTGTGTGTGTGTGTGTGTGTGTGTGTGTGTGTGTGTGTGTGTGTGTGTTTTCTCATATATATATATATATATATATATATATATATATATATATATATATATATATATATATATATATATATATATATATAAAATAAATACATATTTATAAATATTTAATATATATTAAATCAGGACCCTTACCTAAGACAGAATTCGGCTCTGTTCCAAAGGCACAGATACAGGGAGAGCCCGAGGGAACTTGAAACTTGGAAAAACTCCATTTGGAACTGAAATATTTGGGCAGGAAACTGGCTGATGCTAAGCTAGGAGATTAAAAAAAAATTCCTTGAGTACCTACTGAAGTCAAGCACAAAAATAAAATAGATGCTAGCAGCTGCTGCTAATTTCAGTTATTTATTGGTTATATAAACTTAATTACCATCCCAACTTTTATGTATAAATAGTGCCAAAGTTGGCTGACAAACAAAGGAAATCACATAATACAGTTAACAATGTACCATCCAGGGTAGGAAACAGTAGTTGCTTTCAGCAAATAAATTAACTTAGTACCAAAATCTTGCCCACTTATGGCAGCCAGGATCATATAGTGATCCAGATGCAAAGGAGAAAAGGTGATTGTCTTTTCTTGGGCTCACATGAGACAAAAAGTTCCTTTTGGTTTCTGGAGATGCTCCTAGGTGCCTATATATGCACCTACATACGTTCTTGAATCAGCTTTTCCCTTCATGGCTGGATTGCTGCAGAGCCCTAGTGGACAACAGCATAACATGCAATAATAAAAATTAAGATATTTCTCCGATTTTCAGAATGGGAGAGGGCTAGAAAGAAGGTTAATAGTGTGAACACGTGTGTGTGTGTGTGAACTTGCACTTGAATCAGAAACCATACTGGTAGTTAGTAATCAGTGAAACTGCTGTAAATGTAGATGCATACGTTTCCTACGACCATCCCTTATCAGCAATCTGGATTTTCTGTTCAAGCCAGGTGTACGATAAACAAGTTCCAGCAATTAAAAGAGAATGTAATGTAGTGTTTTTGAAAATACTGATGTGCTATCATTGATTCCGAAGGAGGATCAAGATCTTACGGAGCCTAAGAATTATAGGCCAATATCATTATTAAATGTAGATTACAAGATTTTTACAAAAAATTTGGCAAATAGATTAATGCAGGTTATGAAGGATTTGATTCACAGTGATCAATCAGGATTCTTAACAGGGCGATACATGAAATATAATGTTAGACAAATTATTAACTTAATTGAGTATTTGGATAAGAACAATCAGATTCCTGTGGCTTTTATATTTTTGGATGCTGAAAAAGCCTTTGATCAATTAGATTGGCAATTCTTATTCTCACTGGTAGAGAAAATGAATGTTGGGGATAATTTTTTACATGCACTTAAAGCTATATATCAGCAACAATCTGCTCAAATTGTTGTTAATGGGGGATTGACTGAGACTTTTAATATTGAAAAAGGGACAAGACAAGGATGTCCATTATCTCCATTGTTATTTGTTTTGACACTGGAGATTTTGTTAATCCAGATTCGAGAATCAACGGTAATCAAGGGCATAAAGATAAGAAAAAATGAGTATAAATTACTGGCTTTTGCGGATGATTTGGTTTTGATTTTGGAATAACCGATTAGAGCGGTTGATTGTCTATTAGAACTTATAACACAGTATGGAAAAGTTTCTGGTTTTAAAGTCAATAACCATAAGACTAAGATATTATCTAAGAATATGTTAGCCAATGACAAGGAAAGTTTGGTTAAAGCCACAGGTTTTCAGATGGTGAAAAAGGTTAAATATCTGGGAGTATATTTAACTGCCTCAAATGGAAAATTGTATAAAAATAATTTTGAATTACTATGGGCAAAAGTGCAAAAGGATTTAAATGACTGGAAAAAACTGCAATTTTCACTGTTGGGGAGAATTTCAGCTGTAAAAATGAATGTTCTACCAAAGTTTCTTTTCTTGTTTCAGATGATACCTATTTTTAAAAAAGATGTAAATTTGGAGGAATGGCAGAAGGGTATCAATAAATTCATTTGGGCTGGGGAAAAAACCAAGGGTTAAGTTTAAGATTTTGCAAGATGCCCGAGAAAGAGGAGGACTTAAAGCATCTAACTTGAAATTATACTATGATGCAGCTGCCTTAACTTGGATAAGAGATTGGCTTATTTTAACAAATAACGATATTCTTGTTCTTGAAGGGTGGGTTTTAATGTATGGTTAGCATGCATATTTAATTTTTAATAAGAAAGTGGACCGGGCTTTCAAATCACATATTTTGAGGAGTGCCTTACTTCGAGTTTGGAAAAAGTATTATTATAGGTTAAACTATAAAATACCTATCTGGGGGATTCCTAGACATGCAATTGAGGAGATTTCTAAGGGGATGAACTTTGATAAAATTTTGTATAAAGAATTATTAACTTGGTCAGGTTCGGATTGGCATTTAAAATCTCTAGATGTATTAAGGCAAGAAAATATTCTACAGTCATGGTTTCAATATTTACGAATAGTGGACAGGTAGACTGTAGATAAGAAAGGAATAACACTAGAAGATGGAAATCTGGTTATTCAGATTAAAGATCAGAGTCAGGCCCATATAAAAAGAATTTACAATGCTTTAATAGAATTAGACTCTGAAACAGAATTGGTTAAAGATTGTATGATTAAATGGGCTCAGAATATCCAGGATCCGATCCCATTGGACTTATGGGAGACAATTTGGATTAGAAATGTTAAATTTACACAAGCTCAAAATTTGAGGGAAAATTTTTATAAAATGTTTTACAGATGGCATTTAGATCCTAAAAAATTATCTTGTATGTATCCAAATTTACAACCCAAATGTTGGAGATGTGGTAATATGGATGCGACATATTTTCATGTTTGGTGGAATTGTAAAAAGGTAAAGGCTTTTTGGATTATGATTTGGTGGAACATTCAAAAGATTTTTAAAAGGAAGATAAAGTTCACCCCTCAATTATTCCTATTGGGTATCTTTGTGGATTTAAATGACAAAGAAACTACTTTAATGTTGAATTTATTAACTGCAGCAAGGTTATTAGTAGGCTCGTATTGGAAGAAGGACTCGTTGCCTACTTTAGAAGAATGGATATTTAAAGTTTCTAACTTTGCAGAAATGGCAAAAATTTCTGCTTATTTGAAGGATCATACACAAGAAAGATATATTATTGTATGGAGAAGATGGATAGATTATATTCAGAAAAAATATGGGACTATAAAGTTTTATTTATTTTATGAGTAAATTTTATAGTAACTGTTGTAGAGATTTGTTTATATGACTTAATTTAAGGGGAGTTAAAGGTTAAGTATGATGTTTTTTTTTCTTTTCTTTTTTTATTATTGTTAACTTTCTTATTAATAACCCTGTACTCTGCTCTGGGAAGCGAGGGGGAGAGGGTTGAGGGTGGGTGGGTGATGATAATATAGTCATGGTAAATGCTTGGGCATTTCCCCTATGCTGCGTTCATGTGTGTGAGAGGGATGAGAAGGGAGGAAGGAGTAGGGAGGAAGTAGGATGGTTAGAGGAGAAGGGGAGGGGAAGAGAGTAGGAGGGGAGGAGAGAAAGAGGAGGGAAGTAGGGAAGGATTAGAGAGGGTGGACGCAGCCTGGGGGGAATGGGCAGGCGGTACCAATGGTTAGGAATTTATTTTAATTGAATTATGAATAAATGGAAAATAAAAACTTTTTAATAATAATAATAAAAAAGAGAGAATGTAATTTCTGGCATCTCCAGAAACAATCATAGGAGTTGCATTAACCTTAACTGTGCAAATGTTATTGGAACAGTAAAATCAAATTCAAAGTTAAGGCTAGCATTGCATACACCAGGGGTGTCAAACTGCTGGCCCGCGGGCCAGTTTTATCATACCACAGCCATGCCCACCCCACTGCCGGCAATGGCAAAAAAGCTCCGATACGTTGCATGACGTCATGTGACATCGCAAGTTTGACATGTCTGGCATACACTCAACTATGAACTGAAATCTTCAAGGGAATGTAATTGAATCAACTGACAAAAAAGAGGAAGCTTTGGGCAGCAAGGAGGATACATGACAACTTGAAGTAGAGATTCAATATGTCAATACGAAAAGAACAAGAGAGGACCTCAAGAATATCAATAAATATAGCAAAAATATCAAGAGGAAAAAGAGCATGTTTTTAAGAATATTGGAGAAATCATAGCATTTACAGCTAAGAGCAAGAGTAATCACACAAATGCTCTAATAAAGGCAAATGAGTTGAAAGGAAGATGAAATATACTTTAACCGTTTGTAAATGAAATATTGATTAATAAATACATTTTCAGAAAAAACAGCGTATGTTCAGGAACAGTTTCCATCAAAAAGTGAGATGTGGAAGGGAGATCTGGAAATGTTTTTAGTATCTTGTAAGCTGCATAAAGGTTTCCCTTCACTGTCATGGCAAATAACCTCTACAAAACTTTCTCAGTCATTTTTAACTAGACATAAGTCCTGCTAGATCCAGTCTCAGCTCCTTACCTTGATTGCTTATTTCTCTTGGGATCCTCTGCTGCAAAAATGTGCACTGTGGCATGGTCACTTGATACGCAGATAAGAGAAGCATCTTGGTTGAAGTTTATACTAATGGAGAGATCAGAAGCAACATATCTCTTTATCTCATGTTTGTCACGGAACAAGTTGCTTTTTAAAGATATCTTACTTCTTACTTAACTGTTGATCTGTTGGAATTGGGCAGCTAGGACAAATTTGAATCAATAAATAATTTTAAATGTTAACAAATCATAAATGAAAATGGCATGATATTTAAATAGGTTACATTCAAAATCACGGGAACCATCCTCTCCATGTGCAGTTAAAAATTCCCCTTCACTCCCACATTCTCTAATTCTCTAGTGATTACTCAGCAAAGCAAAACTTACCAGTATATATTGGCAGCCTGAGATCCTCTGCGCAATTCTTGAATTAGATGCCCAGATGAAGTATCAAATATTCTTATAAGGGTCCCCTTGAAAAACAATAACAATTTTTGAAGTTGTGGAAAACGATACTAAACCAATCGATTCTTCAGTCTTTTTAATTAATTTATTTATTTATGAGACTTATATATCACTTTAAGTGCAAGCACTCTCTAAGTGGTGTACACCAGTAAGCAATGTATATATATATTTACATTGCCCCCAACAATCTGGGTCCTCATTTTACCTACCCTGGAAGGATGGAAGGCTGAGTCAACCTTGAGTCGGTGAGATTTGAACCGCTGATCTGCTGAACACAGTCAGCTAAAGTGGCCTGCAGTACTGCACTCTAACTGCTACGCCACCTCGGCTCTTACATACTCTGCCTGATAGCCATATATTGTCCACAAAATACATCTTGCCTTAATTTCCTTTTACTGCCTTCAGTAAAATGGATGTTGGAACATCAACATCAAGAATGAATTTGCAAACATATCAGAGCTCAAGCCCCATTTCCAAGGAATGTTTAGGGTAAGGGGTGATTTTTGCTTTTGCCTTTAAGGAAAATTGGTGCTGTGTTACTGATCAGAAACTCTCAGAACAGACATCTGTGAACATTCTCCAAGTTTACCCATCACCACAAAATTTAGTGACCAGCTGATCTAGTCAAACTGATCAAAACAGACCGATGTTTAACTTCATTTACCTTTTACATTTATAATGAGTTGCCTGTGAAGATTTCAGTATTATACACAGAGCCCTGATGGCACATTGGTTAAATGCAGTAATGCAGGCAAACTCTACCCACAGCCTGGAATTCAATCTTGAAGCTTTTCACCCTTCTGTAAAATGAGGACCCAAATTGTTGGGGGTAATATGCAAATACGTAATGTTTTACATCAGGCATGTCAAACTCGCGACGTCATGTGATGTCACACAATGTATTGTGACTTTTTCCCCATTGTCGGCAATGGGGTGGGCGCGGTTTCGTCGTGACGCATCCGGCCCGTGGGCCGGCAGTGTAATTTGCCTGCTCTACATTGTAAACTGCCCAGAGAGTGTTGTAAAATGCCACAGGGTGGTATATAAATCTAAATGCAATTTCTATATACAGGGTTCACCTCCATTTTATCTTAACAACTCTGCAAGGTGGTCTTCACTGACAAATACTGACCAAAAGTCATTTAATGAACTTAATGCACAACTGGGAAATTAAATCTTGGTGCCCCTAGATACAATCCAATTCAAAATCCTTAAAATTCTTTTCCAGTTTACCTGTAAACAGACAGTCGTCGGTTAACAACCACTTGTTCAGTGACTGCTCAAAGTTACTATGGCGCTGATCAACTAGTGGTTACAACCGGTCTTCAAAGTTTCAACCATACCAGCAGCCCTGCAGTCACACGATCATAATCCAGGCATTTGGTAACCAGACAGTTGCAGTGTCCCACGGTCACAATTTGCAATCTATCTTTTTGACTTCCCACAAGCAAAGTCAAGGGAAGGTTGCAAGTTGCTTGGGTAAGTCTCACCCACCCATGAACCTCCCCCAGTCCTTTCACGATAGCTGACCACCCACATACCTTCGAGCACCTTTCTCAAGCCTCGCTATGCTTGCACTGCATCTCCGTGATCACTGAGACATCCTACCTGACCACTTGCGCACCCATTCTTCCCCTGAAGCAGCCAGTGCAAGTCCCACTGCACTATTCATGCCTCCCCCATTACTCCCACTCTCCCACCTAGCAGCCGCCATCTCAAGCCCCAGGGCACACATGCTGCAGCTCCTCTCCCTGGCAGCAGCCACCCCAAACACCACAGTGCTGGTGCCACATCTCCCTCACCCCTCACAGAGCCCCACCATCTGGAAGCAACCACTTATCTGCCTGCTGGGACTTGCAAGTTCTTGCCAGCTTCCCCTCTGACTTTGGTTGTTGGAAGCTGGCAGGAAGCTGCGAGCAGGTGCTTGTCTAATGAACAACAATCCTCACTGAACAACGCCAAAGGACCGTGCAGGAAATGTTACATGAATGACACAGATGAAGTTGGCTTTAAAAGTAAAGATTTTCGTAAACCGAAGTATTAAACTGATATAGCCTTACACCTGCATGAGATAAATAATATATTTTGTAAAACAGTGAAGAGTAGATCAAACTGGAGGTTGATAACAGTGGAATCACTTAGACAGACTACCATACACAAAGAATAGACAAAAGCCATTCCAGATCAATTTAACTTAGACCTAACAATGGCTCCTAACTGGAAGTTTGGCACTCTTGTCAATTTACCATAATCCAGAGATCTTAGAGATTGATTTCCCATTTCTCCAATGCTAAAAGTATAAACTGCTGAAGTCTGGGTGACAGCCTGGAATATAAGGGTGGCCCACTGATTGTTCTGACTGGTGGGATCCAGGAAAAGGGCCTTCTCTGCCACTGTACCTGCCCTGTGGAATATCTTGCCCCTCACACCCTCAGCCCCAACCCTCCTGACCTTCCAGAAGAGCCTAAAGACCTGGCCCTGCCAGTTAGGTTGGGGGCCCCAGTGGGAAAGTATCACAGTGGAGGTGGTTGATTAACAATGGATCCCACTTCCTCCCCCCATCCTGCTCCTGCCCTCCCCATTTTTTAATTGGGCCGCAGTGTTCTGGATCTTATATTAACTTATTTATTGATTTTAGTTTATATAGTTTTTATATTTTTATGATTATAAACTATCAGAGTTACCTTGAGATAAGATGGGTAGCCTATAAATGTTAGATAGATAGATAGATAGATAGATAGATAGATAGATAGATAAAGAAAGAAAGAAAGGAAAGAAAGACATCTAAGAATGATACGCAGACTCTTACCAAGACACTATGAAACATTTATATGAACACATTCAAGATGGTGATGTGGCTCTCTAGTTAATCATATAGCAAAACCTTTTGCTTACTTTTTCTGATGCTGTAGCAATTCTTGTTCCCTGCAAATTTAGGGCTATGCAGCTCAAGATTCCTTCATGAGCAGGTATATCTACTGGAGGCTTTTCAGTGTTTGCCAGATCTACTATCTGCACATGTCCAGTATGTGTTCCAGGGAATGCAAGTAAGGAATTATTACTATTTGGACACAGGACACAAAGACCTAAAATAAACAATTGCAAGTATCAAAGAAGAGCTATTTTTACTATGGTATCTCTCAGACCATCCCATCTAAAGAAGTTTTAATGTCCTCAGACTAATAAGCTATTTCACAGAGTAAGCTACACTTTAGGTTCACCGTGGGGTCCTTGGTCCTCTCTTGAGTTTGGGGCTTTCCTTGCAGACGTTTTATTACCAAACCCGGTAACATCATCAATGCACTTGCTACTTCATTTGGTAATGAAATGACTGGAAGGAAATCATCAAGCTGAGGGAATACCAAGGACTCCTCAGTTCAAACCTGAACTATAAATATGTCTTCTATTAGTAATTTTAGGTTTAAGATTAGCAAAAAAATACTTATATATGTATAATATGGCTTGACATTATTATGTAGCCAGAACTTTTAATAACTGTATAATGGTGGTGGATGTAGTCTGGATTTCCAAGAGGGAGGGGCTGCATTCCAGAGGGCAAAGAGGCACTGAAGCATGGAATGTTTGGTTGGGAGAAAAAAGCATTAAGGAGATTCCTCCCTTAATGATCCCCAGAGTATATCTATAGTGATGCAAATAGTTGCTTTATTTGGCAAGATTTCTCTCCAAAGGTGAGGAGCAATAAAGGAAGTTGTTTAAATGTAATTCCATGTGTCTTTGTTGGTTCTTGGGGCCTGGCAGTAACAAAACCTCAGAATTACATTTAATGCCCTATGATAGTGGAACCTTCCCAAACCCCAAGATAAAGATAAATGCCACCTCACATGCAATGGGGATGACATACCTTACTGAACTCAGTAACGGAGCATTTGCTTTCCATTTAGAACAGTGATTCTCAACCTTTCTAATGCCGTGACCCCATCATACAGTTCCCCATGTTGTGGTGACCCCCAAGTGGGTGTGGCCACCAATAAGAGGGAGTAGGACAGCTAGGGAAAAGGGAAAAAAATGGCGGACAGCATGGTTTGGCGACCCCCGTGAAATGGTCATTCGACCCCAAATGGGGTCCCGACCCACAGGTTGAGAACCACTGATTTAGAAAATGCCAAGCTGTCTTAGGAATAGTGAATACATGCCAAATAAGCAACATCAATTGACCCCCCCCCCCAAGCATAATGCCAACAAAACACAAACCAATGGAGACCGTAATGTCTTCTCTGTTAACGGAGACCACATACCTTTAGGGTTGTAGCAAGTTTCAAAGACATGTAACTGGTGAGGATTGTGTGTGAATGTGAAAACTTTAATCATAGAGTCCAAAACTACGACAATTCTGGAAAAGAAAAGGCACTGACATAGATACAGCACTCAGATTGTACCAGAAAGCATTATGCCAACCCTAGAACCAATTTTCTTCCTTTTGCTTTAGCCTATTACAGCAAAGCTTTCAAAATTACTTAAAAGTATATCAGAAGTAGTCATAAAGCAGGAGCTCATGCATCTTTCTGCCAGAGAGGTTCTGTCTGTAAGGTTGAGAATTATTTGTGTTTGCTGAAGCATATCAGTACAGTATTCCTGCCTTTGTTCCATCATATTCAAAACAGTTCAGTATGTTAATAAATAATGAAAACTCACAGTCTTTTCCTTCCTTAAAAATATCTAACTAATGGAACAAATCAAAACGAACTCCTTCTGAGCACTTACCTGTCTCTTCGCAGCTTAACAGCTTTTACTTCTGTGGAAAATTCTATTTCAATAACTGTCTTCTTTTTCAAGTCATCCCAGATCATTACTGCAGAGAAGGAAGTATCTTATTAATTTTAAAACAAGCACCTTCAACACGGACAAACTAGCTCCATTAGGAAGTTAAATCCCAGATCACCTCATTATATAGATAAAACAAAAGATTCATATTCTAAATTGGGACAGATGTTTTTTTAATTCTGGGATATCTCACAAAAATGTTGTTGGACTCCAACTTTCCAACAGAACAGAAACAAATTACAACTTCTATTACTTATAATAACTCTTACAAAACTCAAAATTCCCCAGCCTTGATACCATACATTTCTTTGAGCTTTTCCTACAGTTTTACAGATCCTATTCTTACTTTTTCCATTTTTCCTCTTGTGTCCAATCCATCTCTCTAACCAGATTATGACTTTTTATTGTATTATACTATTAAGAAAAGATGCAATAAATAGCATCTGTTTATTATTTATTTATAAATAAAAATCATAAACAATCATAAATCGGAAGCACAACAGACCAGGGTCTGCTCTAACAAATAACTGCTTTCACTGTAGCCTTTAAAAATGTAAGAATTGCCCTCACATTTTTTAAAACTGTAACTACTCAGGAGAGGAATACAATTTAGTTAGAGCATTGTGGCACTTTTGAGACTGAACCCAAGAGTAAAAATACTATTTAATATTCAATACTATACCTTTATTAGGAGGATACTTTGGCTTTTTCCCTCCACCAACCAAAGCTAAATAATTGCAGCGAAACAACATTTCAACATGGCCGACACCTCCTTCTAGGAATTCTAAGGGGAAGAGCAGGAAGCATGTATAAAATAAAACATTCAATGCAAAATTTTCTAATGTCAGAATATTTGTGTAGAACAAAGGGAGTTTCTCTTCAGACTTAACATTACATTTAAACTTACATGCAGTACTCTACATTTTTGTTTGCCTCATTCTGAGAAAATGTTTGCTCTCTCTTCTAGTGTGCTCAGAGGTTTTTTTTCTGATTATACATTATGGATAACTATTATAAGTCAAGAAGCAATACTTCTATGAATAGTTAATGAGAACTGCCTTCAAGTTTTAAAATTCTCTGACAATCAAATATTTTAAGACTATAATCTTATGCAAAGTTAATTGGGAGCAACATACATTTATTTGGATTTTCTTCAAAATCATAATGCCAGTGAATTATTTAGAACTGAAAAGCAGCAATGTATACCGAGGAACCATCTTACCTTGTTTCTCCTTCTCTTTGAGTGGATCTGCATTAAACACTCTAAATCCATTTTCCATTCCACATGCAAAGCATCCTAAAAAAAAGGATTGCCAAAGTAGGCATAAATGCTGTCTGTTAACAATGGACAAAGAACAAGGTATGCTAAAGCATACTTTGCATGCAGAAAAATATTGGTTTAATACCTGCAATTTTCATAATAAAGCAGCTAGCAAGCAAGATCTCCAGCCGTACCCTGATGAGTATTTCAAACATGGATCTTGTATTCTTTTGAAAGAGCTCTAGTCCAGTGCTGCACTGACAACAGGAAGTAGGACCACCATGGTTATGTATTCTCTCTTTTAATTGAGGAGGCACCATTTTGCCTGTTGCATAGATATTATGGTGATTATAGATATACACAAAATTAGAAATATGTTTTATATGCAACCCAGAAGAAACCATTGGGTTCTGGAGGTACAGGCAAATCCTTTCAGACTGACTGCAATTTAGCAGAACGAAAACAGTTTGGCTGTTTTGATATACATATGACAGAAAATATGGAAGATGCCTTTGACTTTAGGGTATATAAGGCAAGGCTGATGTATGTCACCCTTTCTTAGCAGCCCTACACACATACACATACACACAAGCACATTTCTTTTTCTCCCTTCATTTAATTCCCACTGCCACAGATTCTCAGCACACCTGGCAGGCCCACCTCTCCTTCAATCTTTGCAGGACTTTTCTTTCCTTCCCTCAGCTGTTGCAACAACTGTTTGTGTTCTTTACTGGAATAGTCTCAGTTGCAAGGAAGTAGCTCCTAATACAGATATTACACCAGATTGCCGGTCAGCCTATCTTCTTAGTGTCTTCCTTCCTCTGCTTCTTTTAGCCAACCACGTTCTTGATTTCTTTACCTTCCTAAATCAATCTGCCCAGAACAATCATGTTTTGGTCTACATCAGGACAAAAATAGCCCTGTTTGATTTCATATACAGACCAAACCCATCCAAAACTCTTGTATTTCAGTCAGGTATAGACAACCTGAAATCAGCTCTTCTGTGAATGAAATGGTTTGTACATAGAATACTTTGTAGATCCCTAGTGATTATTGTCATTTTCACAGTAAACAAATCAAAATCAGCTGTAAGACATGTGTTGTCCATGGTTGTTTTTTGACATTTGGTCCTGCTGGCTACTGAGTTCTACTTTTACTGTTACAATCTGTTTTTAAATTTGTCCTCTATGCCACCTTGAATGGTTTGTAGAGTAGGCAGAAATACAAATAAAATAAACAAGCAAACTGAACTCCTTGATCATTCTGCTTCTTTTTGGTACCCCAGCAGTCCTAGTCAAGAAGGAGCTTACTCCTTATCAATCAGTTGCTTTCTCCTACTTCTCCTTCGCTTTCCCTTGAGTTTGTTATCTGCTAGCCAGGCTCTTTGGGACAGGGTTTAATATATTCTTTCAGAAAGTATTATATTAATGTTCAGAAAATTCTGCAGCAAAACTGAGAGAACTCTCTTCTTCCTTACTCCAGATACACCCTTAGTGCCTATTAGTTGAACAACTTGATAAGTGGTGGCTAAACCTGCCATTCAAAGCATGTCTAAAACTCATCTAACTCACGTTAGGGGGAGTTATGATTGTTTTCCATCAGCAGGTGAATCTCAGAGGGAGGACAAACTAAATCTAGGGATCCATCAATCCTTTTAAAACTTGCCCTGCGGTAAATTAAGTACCATTCACTATCTCTGTTAGCGTGGCAAACTAGAGATTGGCCACAGAAGTGACACACTTTAGGCCACCATACTTTTTTGCTGGCTCAAGAATCACTGAATAGTACTTTAACTTGGCCATGAGAAAGAGAGTAGGGCTCTATTCAGGAAGAGCTGCAGGTCAGGATTGGTACCTACTGTATTTACAAAAGAGAACTGTTAAATTACCCTATAGAAAAGAAAAAGTGAGGGTTAAGCCCAGCAAACATGTAACAATGAGTTCCTGTGTGTGTATATATATGTATAGTCTTAAATAGCAAAAGCCAGGCCCTGCCTATGCTACTATTTCTGCCTCATAAAAGCTTATTTATCTTGGGAGGGAAGAAAAGTACATAGAATTTCTGTATCATAAAGAGTGGGATGGGTGCGACTGATTCTTCACCATAAATCTGAACAGTTCCGCTAACCTCTGGCTTTCTTCCTGCTGACTCCTCTACTTAGCACTGGCCTCTGGCAAATGGGGAACTGGCCTCTTGTTCCCAGTAAAACCTCCCAGTCTATTCTCTGTCACCGGACCACAGACTGGTCAACTGCTTTTCAGCCTGGCATGTCTTGCGAGCCCAGAAAACTGGACTGAAAACTGGACAGCAGAGTTTAAATTAAGCACATGTGCCATCCAAACGCTGCCAACAACCGCCCCCAAACAGAAAGAAAGTGGCAGCAGCGGCAAAAGGCAAAAGATCCTTCCCAACAACTGAAAAGGCCGGGCGAGCGCAGTATGTGCCGAAGACCCAGCAGTAGATCCAGAAGGAAATGCTGCACAAATTCTCTGACTTCGCTTCCAACCTCTCGCTACCTCCTCCTAGGAAACTGGGCTAGCAACTGACGCTCTTCCCAGAAACAGCAGAAGCCAAGAACCCGGGGAAAAGGAAACAAGCAGGCCTGCCTTTCCCTGTCCGCAAACGCCTGAAATGGGCAGCGGGCGGGCGGGCAGGCAGGCAAGCAAGCAAGCAGATGATCTCACTCTCACTCACACCCACACACCCACACACCCCCATGAGATCCCTACCGTGGTCCTGGTTGAAGCCGGCAAAGAGCAACCCATTCCCGTGCGGATTAACGGGGAGTAGGTTCATGGCGCCGGACGACGGGAAAGGCCGCGGCCTGGGGAAAGAGGGTCGCTCACACCATCAGCCGAGAGGAGGCGGCGGCGGCACCGATACGATTCCTTCCGGACTAGATCAGGAGCACAGAGCGCATCGAACCGCTCTCCTTGGCTTTGCTGGAGGAATACCAAGCTGTTGAGCAGCGGCGACTTCCCCCAAATCAGTAGTCAGTACTACAGAACTGTAGTCTCTGGCCGATTTACAGTCGCTGCCTGATTGCAGAGCGCATCGATGAAGGAAACCCACCCGGCTGAGAGCCGAGCTAATTCATGCTTGAATCCGCGCGCTCTCGCGTTTCGGATGTTTACGGCGGACTTGACTTTCGCGGTGGGAGCCCGCTCATTACACCGTTCTTACTTCCGAGAAAAGCTACTTAGAATTATACGGGGAAAACCCAAGAGCATAGTAGACCGAATTGTCGCTTTCCTTACATCGGTTTTGTGTTCCCCTGGCCCTTACAAAATAGGTAAGCAGCGACTTTGGAGGGTGAGGAGTGGGCGATAAGACCCCCCCCCGCCACTTCAGTGCGGTTACATTCTGACGCTGCCGATCAGCGGAGGTGATTTGGGAAGGAATACACGAGACTCTTAATTAGACAAAATCTTAATTAGATAAAACTTGGGGGGGATTAAAATATGCTTACGCTTATTTAGATTCGGTATAGGCAAGAATTTGTAGGAAAATTGTTTATAGATAAACACTGATTTTTTTTTACTCCATCCCCTCCAAACCACCTAATGCAGTGGTTCTCAACCTTTTTAATGCTGCGACCCCCCCAACCGATCGTAAGTCGAAGACTACCGAACCGGTCGTAAGTCGAGGACTTTCCCTGCCCAGGAGTGCTGCCCATGTGTGGTGCCGCCCCCTGCGCCGGTCGAGGCATAGCTGGCAAGGGGCAGTGATGGCGCAGGGCAACCACCGGCTGGGCCACCAGCTGGCCCAGCCCAAGGGAGGTAAGGCACCCGCCGGGCCCCACATGCGCCAGCAACCCTCCCTGTGCCCGCTGGCCTCCCGCCTCCCACCCCTGGACCTCTTTTACGTACGTTTTTAGTAGTTGCTCAGCAGGGAGGGGTGGAAACTTCCAGACAGCTCGCCTTCGCTGCAGACAACTTGCAGCACCGTTTGCAGAATGGGACTTCTGGCGGGCTCAGCAGGGCGGAGACAGCCTGGACAATTCCTATTGGCTTTTGAAAGTCAATAGAATTAGACTCTATTCAAGAGAGTCTATTCTATTGGTTTTCAAAAGCCAATAGAATAAAAGGGAGTAGCACAGCTAAGGAAAAGGGGGGGAAAATGGCGGACTGCATTGTTTTGACGACCTCCGTGAAATGGCCGTTCGACCCCAAATGGGGTCGCGACCCACAGGTTGAGAACCGCTGACTTAATGTATCAGTTGTATGTACCATAAAAACTTAGCAGTTAGTGCTACTGAACGCACCCAGATCTCTTTCCCAAGCGCATTCAAAGGATAGCTGGGTGGGGGAGAGTGAGTAAATAATAAACAAACAAATAAATAAATAAAATACAATAATAGAAGCTACATTGGTTTCTATTGCCTACTTGCATGAGGCTGGAAATTCTGCTCCCCTAGTAAGTGACAATACCTTGCTAGTTTGGGTAAATTTATAAAGAGATACTATAATTTTTATTCATGGGGCTAGCAGAGGCTACAGCAGGCACTTCTGAGTGCAGGTGACACAGCTCGGACCCTGGGCATATGTACAAAACAGTGGTCAGATGCTATGAAATCAACAATCAGGATCCTCATTTTACCGACCTCAGAAGGGTGGAAGTTGAGTCAACCTTGAGCATCTTAAGCATTGAACTCTGGCAGTGAGCAGAGTCAGCCTGCAATACTGCATTCTAGCCACTGTGCCACCACGTACAAAATCCCTGTAATCTTGTACACCATAGTGGGGCTCCTCGGGAGAAGTGACTTATGGAATGACTTGCAACCTTTCCTGTCAGCTTCCCATTGATTTGGTTTATGAGAAGCTGACAGGAAAAGTCACAAATGGCAATCACTACAATGAGGCCACACAGCAGGACTTGAGGGGATTCAAAACTAATAAAATATTTAATATAATAATGAGATAATTTTGCTATGACAAAAATGACAGTTGCTACTGACATGTCATGTAAGAATTCATTGTGTTTATGAAAAATGGTAATATCAGAAGAGTGAAATTTATATAGGACATATAGATTTCAGAAACCTCTCCACAGTAAAGGTATTATAAACTAAGCAATAATAGCAACTGCAGCAAAGGTATATAATTAGACCCCAAATGAAATCAAAGTGAAAATCAAAGCAAAACTATATGAAAAACAAATCAATTTAAAATAAAAAATCAACAGAAAAAAAATCCCTATCTGCAGTAAGATCATTGCATTTCCTTCCATAAATCTGTAAACCACTCAAAGCTATTCAAACGTATTTTATTTTTAACTATGTCATTTGTAGGTTATACTTTCTTAGACTATTTTACTTACCATAAAATTTATTATAGAGGGAAAACATGATAGTTGTATTTGTTCACTTATAGCAATATAAGCTGCCTCACTGAAAATACCATTATTTTAAAAACATGTATAAAATTGCTTTATGACATTATTCAGGTATTTATTTCAAGTCTTTCTGATTACTTAAGTTAAAATGGAAAGAAACTGGCCTTTATTGCAAACAAATTAGAATAAACATTATCTGTCTAGATAGAGGAATAGAGATTTGAGAAAGCATTCAAAAGCTGGGAAAGGAGGATAAAATATTTCAGTTGAAAAAACACACATATACTTTGCAGGATTTATTTTTATTTTTAAATAATAGTGTCCTTTCCTGATAAAGCAGCTTTTCAAATTACATTTTTTCTTAGGCTATAGCAAATATGTCTTGATGTCTTTGGCTTTTTCACTATATAACGATCACTAGAATATCTAATACAAAAATGTAGATTTACCAGAAAAATAAGCATATAATCCACAATTTAATTCTGAAACATAGCAAAAAACTTTATCAAATGTTTTATACATGGATGAGACAATTTTTTGTGCATATTACATTAGTAGCTCAAAAATCGTGCTTCAGAATCACTCAATAAACTGTACAAAACCAGAATCAGATGCTATACTGAAACAATACTAGAATGTCACTACTTAAATTCTTTTACAATGTATACAATACATTGTTATTTAAAACTAGATGAATCTACGATTGACTTTCATTCTAATTGCAAATAAAATGTAATAATTGAGCAATATTAAAAATTAGTCACATTTGAGATTCAGTGACACAAAAGCTCAGTATTGCGATAAATTATTCCCTTTATAAAATACACAAAGATTTCATGCACATCAAAAAATTGATATATATAAAATCCAACATTAAAGTTTCACATTCCTCTGTTTGCACAAAGTGCATCATATATCTGGAAGCAGCATTATTAAAAACAAATGATCTAAAATATTTTTTTTTCTTTTGTCCTGTTCCTGCAAAGCAATACCTACATACAATAGATTTGGCTACTGAATTAGTCCTTGTGTTAACAATGCTGGGCAAAGATTTCCAAAGATAGCTTAGGAGATTTTACAACTATTTCTGGCACAAGGCTTTGGAGGGCTCTGAAGTGGACGGATGATTTTGGCTTTTTTCAGGCTGTTCCTTTTGTTATTGTTGCTGGCGGTGAGAGAGTAAGAACGACCGTGCATCATTCTAGCATTCAGGCCATTGGCCATGGAGAATGACTTGAGATGGCTTCTTAAGGCAACAGGGAGTGGAAGTTTGTCAACCAAGTGCACAGGCGTGCAGGAAACTATAGCACGGCAACAAAGATCTTGTAGACTCAAGACTGAAACATAAAACATAAGATTAGATATTAAAAAGCTCTTAACAGCCACATGGTGGCAGTACACAGCTAGAACGTTGCATAAGTTTTAATAACCCTATCTTTATTTCACTATTTTTGAAGTACCACCCTAATCCTTCACTGATTCTTCCCATTACCTTGGCTTGCCTTCATTGATACAAATAATCTTGCACATTTTTTTGGGAGCCCCCTAGAAATGCTCCCAAAGCTAAAATGATAAGAATAGTATGACTGCATTGGTCTGCTTCTTCTTTTATCTATACCAAATCCTTCCTCATTAAGGGGAGGTTGCAATGAAACTGCTAGGAGTTCTGCAGGATCAGTTCAACATCTTCCTTGCCTTTTCCTTTTGAAGGAAAGGGTGAAGTTTAAATGAAGGCTGAGCCTAGTTTGCTGATGCTCCTGTTGGCTTTGCCTTTGGTCTGCCGTTTATCTTCAAGGAGCCTCTTCTGGTAGTGTTTCTGCAAAATTACTGGCATGATGAACTCATCAGGATTACTAGGAAATGCTGTATATCAATCTTAATTGAGGGAATGCATGGGCTAATTTCTGATTGCTCATCTTAAAATGGGGAGCATTTATTAGATGCTGGTTATGATATTAAATCACAAGTACGTATCAAAGTATTTTTTTATACATTTTTTTCATCCTGACTAAATATATAACTAGCATACATAGGAAAGAAGTAAATACATTTCTGTTGCTTACCCTTGTTTGGCCTCCACAGCCGGTCCATTCCGTGTCTCATTAACACTATTCTTGCAAGTTCTGTAAAGGACTCTGTGATGTTGAAATTACAGAGTGGGCTTACTTCAAAGAATGTCATGCCTAATCGTTCAGCATAAGCCTGTGCCTGCTCAGTAGACACTTGCCTTTTGAAGGCTAGATGCAGGCGGTTGCCAACCAGGATTTTGGGTACACCAGGAGCATGCTGAGAAAGAGAATCAGAACAATGTTAATTTCAAAATCTACACCCATTTTCATCAAAACGACAAACCGCACATCATTTATTCAGGCTAGCTCAATTTTCTGACTTTGCCTAGCTATCGTATGTGGACTGGGTTCACTAATATGCAAAATCATAAGGTTGTTATTTGGGATTATCTTAAATATTGTATGAAGACAGATGTCTGGTTTTAAAACATGATTGATACCTTTGTGTATTATATGATTCTGGTCAATTTGTGATTTATTCCTCAGATCATGACAAAATAAAGCATGGCTTAATGTAATACATAGACCAGGCTACAATCAAGTGAATGGGCTGCACAAGAGAGAAGATGTAAGGAATTATCACTTTCTATTCCCTGAATGTTGAAGAAATAGAAGCATTTAGGATCCAGATCCAATTATCACCTGCTCTAAGAATGCTATTTTTTTTTTGTCTTTTGCTTCCCTGAAAGGAAGTCTAGCACCACTTCTTTTGAAACACTGACAAAGAATATGTAATCCATAAATGTTCCTGGAGTATGTAATCCATAAATCAGCAAAAGCTTTGAAGGAAAGGGGAAGAACTTAAGGTTGATGAAAATGCTTGACCATCAAGCCACTGTATGAAAAAATCTTTGAAGACAGACCACTTCTAGAAGTAATAAGAAAGTTCTGCTTCATCGTACAGCCCTAGGATTCTTTCTAGGAATTGTAGCACTGTCCTAAGCATTCTTAGTTTTCTTCTTAGTAAGTTTTTATTCTTGTCCATCCATAGTGATTTTGGAAGTTATCCATCCATCCAACCAAATACAAAAAAATTTAAAAGGCATGTTTTGTTGAATAAGCCACAACTGCCCAAGTTTGCAAAATAAAGCATGAATCATTGTTTATAAACTACAATGACTGAGTTTACACCAGATCTTTCCATTTTACAGCCTGTGGATGGTAATTTAGGTGGTATCTTCAATGTAGAACTCTTTTCAATTCAGGTAAATATATTTATTATTTGATATCTTACCTCATCTATCTCCTTTATCCACCGATCAATGCCATCAAATGACCAGCGATTTGTTATATCATATACCAGTATCACACCCTGGGTGAATGAAATCCATTTAAAATTAGTCTGAAATATGGGTAAATTTAAATATGCATCGTACAATCTTGTGTAATGATATTTGATGACATTATAAGAAGTTATGTTGAACATATCTGAACTTTTCTGTAAAACATTATATTCAGCACAAATATCTACACATTTTAAAAAGTAGGACAATACACTTATCATTTTGCTTCCCCTGGCAATTCTTATCATTTCTCTCGGCCTCACTGATACAGTTCAGAGTGTGTGCTTACCTGAGCACCTCTGGAATAGGAACGAAATATGGTACAGAATCTGCCTTGTCCAGATGTGTCCCTGAAGATGATACAGCACACGATTAATAATATAGTCATTTTTATTCTAAGAGTGAAGTAGTATAAACAGTTGTCTGATTAAGCTGCCTTAATCAGCTTTTATCTTCATTTATCATTTTACATTTGTTATTAATATTCAACAATTTACCAAAACTGAAAACAAGATACTTCAATACAGATCAGTGCACACATGATAGATTATTCTGTGTATATCTGTGTGCAGCCCTAGTTGAGGACCGAGCTCACTGACTGTCAATCACTCCCTCTCACTTTACCAGAGAAAGCCCATCCAACAGATCACTAGTTTAGGGGGTGGGTTACACTAAGCAGGAACACTGCAAAAACTCTTGCCACCTCTTGATCAGAGGACTAAGTTCTCTAAACCAGTGGTTCTCAACCTGTGGGTCGGGACCCCATTTGGGGTCGAACGACCATTTCACAGGGGTCGCCAAACAAGGCTGTCCGCCATTTTTTCCCCCTTTGGCCACGCCCCTGGCACCCGGTGATGTATAAGTGGTTGGGGGTCACCACAACATGGGGAACTGTATTATGGGTCGTGGCATTAGAAAGGTTGAGAACCACTGCTCTAAACAGTCACTGAACCCTGCCCTACCATGCTATACGTTAAAGGGAATGATTGGTAGTTGTTTTTCCTGTAATGCTGGGTGAATGGGAATCAAAGCCAGGGAAATCCACCATCACCTTGCTTATATTACAGGACTACATTAATTAAAATCAACTCAATTTAGAAGGTTCCTTGTTGGGGTAGAATAGAGATCAATTAAAGGAGGCAGCCCAATTTATCCTGGCTGGTTTTCTGCTGGGTGAAAGATTGGTGAGTAGCACTTGAAGACAATCATCTGAAAGAGCTCTGGGTGAACCTGTCCTTGCTCTGTCTAATGCTCAGCATAAAGCCCCACTAAACTCATATACTCGTTTAGGAAATATTCAGAATAAATAAAATTGATATCTGTGATTACTAAATAATTTGGTCTGATTTGTAGTAATATTTAGCTAGGATAAAAGTGCCCTCCTGTTGTGACCACAGGTCAGTGTAGCCAAAATGCTCTTATCATTAACTAAAGGTTTAGTATACTCCCATCCTCCTTATGAATCCTATCAGATTCTAGAAATGGCCATACTTTGGTTAGGATGAGAGCTACCTAGTGAGTTTTTATATAACTCATGTGATCTAATACTCAATTGTGCAAGTTTTTCTTATATAAACAGTTTTCAAAATATAGAATATAATCCAGACAAAATTCAATTACCAGAGCTGCAACTTTATTCGTCTGCCATCCAGAAGTATTGTTGTTGTTTTGTAATCAATACCTGAAGAGAAAGAGTGAGGTATTATGCTGAAATAGTGGAAACATTGCATGAAAATTTTTATTATACAGTAATATCGGATTTTTAATTTTAAAAATCCACTTCTATGCTACAGATGAGCAGTAGCAAATTTAGTGCCCCAATATCAAGTTTTCAGAGCTCAATCAAAACACTGCAAAATAAAAACACAAGAGATGACAAAAATGACAAAAAAGCTCTATTCCATTTTTTTGCATTGTTTATATTAATTTTACACTATATTAACTAGAGCAGTGGTTCTCAACCTGTGGGTCGGGACCCCATTTGGGGTCGAACGACCATTTCACGGGGGTCGCCAAACAAGGCTGTCCGCCATTTTTTCCCCATTTTCTTTGGCCACGCCCCTGACACCCGGTGATGTATAAGTGGTTGGGGGTCACCACAACATGGGGAACTGTATTATGGGGTCGCGGCATTAGAAAGGTTGAGAACCACTGAACTAGAGGCAACTAAAAGCTATTTTCCACATTATATATTCGGGTAATTTATGTAATCACCTTTAATCCCGCATCCCCTAATTCCAAATTTCTGTGTGATAAATCCTACGTCTTGGTCATTCTCTTTTTTTCTCTGTTTTGAACTGTATCTGTCTCCAAGCAACTAAACAAATCTCTATTAGAAGAAAGAAAAAGATTCTGGGATCTTTGGAAATACATAAGATGTATTTAATTATAGCTCTTAATATGTGTTAGTGGTGCCAATGGAAGGAGCTAATTTTTATAAATATATTTGTAACAATAGCACATTGCAAAGAGGTGCCAGAGATACTAAGGGCTGTGCTGAAATATGATGAAAGCTGATGCTGGCTGTCTCCTGGACATATATTTCAATATTCCATGTTTTTGTTTTGCTTATGCTGTAGTACAGTGGGGTGAACTAAAAACTAAATAACCATGTTGTTTATTTACAGTATTTAAAAGATTTGTATGTGATCAATAGAAACCCAGTCTGGTATAGTGATTAAGGCATCAGATTGTAAGTTCTAGTCCCACCTTGAGTGTGAAGTTTGGGCCAGTCACTTTCTCTCAGCCCTAAGCAGGAGGCAATGGCAAATCACTTCTGAAAAATCTTGCTAAGAAAACTGCAAAGAATTATCCAGACAGTCTCCAATAATGGGACACAACTGAATGGAAGAAAAAAAATATATAACCAGTATAAACTCTCCTGGGTTAATATTTCAGATTGTATTTAAGAAATAGTATAGCATTAACATCTTCTCCCTAGAGATTCGGCTTCCTTGAACCTGAACAAATATTTATGTTTGCAGAAAGTGCTAGGTCATATGAGTCTTTTGCAAATCAGGAATTCTAAGACTTCTGTCCACAGAGTTGTTTTTAGTATCCAAGTACACATAAAGACACGTTCTGTTGGTCAGATTCAGAACTACTCTTTGAAATGGACAGTTTCTCTGGGGATAAAGGAGATGAGTAAACATAAAGCAAAATAAGAGAGTATTACCAAAACACCTTAAAATACAGCATAGTTTGACATCACCTGAAATCCTTGAGGTTTAAACAGAACCACTGAACAATGTAGCACTGTATTGTCTCAGATATGTTTAGAATATATGCTAATTTTTAGCCTCTGTCCACTGTAATAAATTTACGCACTATTGTAGATATAGCCTTTGCTGAACCTGTTCCAACTACCATATTTATATTTACCATAGAAACAACATATTTTGCATATTCAAAAATATATAAATATTAACTACTGTATGTAAATAGTTATAAATAATGTTGGCATATTAGCCTAAGAAAATGGATAATGGGAGATCTCTTGCTCCTATGCACAGTGTGGCAGGTGATAATGGGAGAGCTATTTGCAGAACTAGAGACTTGACTATGGAAACCTATTTGGAATAGAAGGAAACCCAGAATAAGATATAAATATTAAATTTGAGATGATAATTATGGATGGTAAAGGTTTTATAGCGATTTGGATTGTCTTGGATTTGGTTTGTGTTAAATGGGAGGCTATTATGAAATGATTTAGAATTTAATATTGAAGTATAGCAAGAATATGGTGGGTTTTTTTGTGTGTTTATGTTTTTCTTTTTTTCTTTTCCTATTTGTGGTTTTTGTTTTGGAATGAGATGGAGTTAATAATTGGAGAATTATTGAAAAAGAATAGAAATATAGTTGAGAAATGTAGGAATTTAGTTTTGGAGCTAAATATGTTTAAATAAGAGAAATTTGGGGCCCCTGAAACAGTTAGATAATTAGGTTAGCTTAAAGTCAAATATTTGGAAAAATTAATAAAGTTTAAATCAGGATCTTTGTGATAGATAAGGAGCTTTTGTAAAAGATTATTGACTAATGAAATTTATATCTGGCAATATACTTAATGAAAATCTGTGTTAGAAATGTACTAATGAGATTCTAATAATTTAAATAGAGAGCGTTGGTTTTGATTCAAGCATTTAATTTATATATAACAATATATTAATGAATTGGTTATAGGATTGTACTGATTTGATTATTATATTGATATTGAGCGGTTGAAAGTTTTTATTGGTTAAGGAAATTTATATTTAGATATATTAATGAATTTATTTGAATTTAATTGATTATAATATTCTACATACGGTAGATAGAGAGGGAAGTTTTAAGAAATATTGTGTGAATTGTATACTTATAATGTTATTGTTTTCTTTTTGTAATTGACCACCATATCTCCACGCTGGTTCTTAAGCCTCTGTTGGTATAAAATGGAAAAATAATAAAAATTGTTTATAAAAAATAATAATAATGTTGAAATATTGTGACTTTGGAATAAACAATTTCCAAATATAGAAACATACACTCAGAAAGGAGGATAAAGATCATCCAATCCAATGTTTTTCAACCTTTGCAACTTCAAGATGTGTATCAACTCCCAGAATTCTCCAGACAAATAAATGGCATTATTTATAACCTGCTTAAAGTTGATAAATAATTGGAGCAGAATGCATATCCAGTCAAATAAATAAAAATAATTTAAATATTTAAAGCAAACTTAATTTTGCACAGTTTATTTTAAATGCTGTGCAGACTTCATAGTTTCAGTTCTGTTTTACAGGTCGTCCTTGACTTACAACAGTTCATTTAGTGACCAAAGTTACAATGGCACTACAAAAAATGACTTATGACCATGTTTCAGAGTTATGACCTTTGTAGCATCCCCATGATCATGTGATCAAAATTCAGATGCTTGGCAACCGGTTCATACTTATGACTGTTGCTGTGTCCCAAGATCAAGTGATCCCCTTTTGCAACCTTCTGACAAGCAAAGTCAGTGGGGAAGCCAGATACACTTAACAGCCAGGTTACTAAATTATCAACTGTATTGATTCACTTAGCAACTCTGGCAAGAAAGGTCATAAAATGGGGCAAAACTCACTTAACAAATGTCTCAGTTAACAATAGAAATTTTGGGCCCGATTGTGGTCGTAAGTTGAGGACCACCTGCACATAATTAGTACTTCACAGTATGTGATCGCTCTGAAGAATTACAACTGCCATCCTGACAAAAGTTGGCCGGTCGCAGTTGAGTGTCTTTCTCAGGCTTCTTGAGAAATATGTTTGTTTTAGTTACAGCTTTGTTTTTTGAGAGCCATCTAATATACAGCATTCTAAAAAGACTTCTGGTATTTTTCAACGTTCTGCATTAACCAAATATTCTGCTTTCCAGAACAAATGCTTTTGCTTCTGTAGCCTGTTTTGAATGAACTCATATATCCATTTTTAAATGTATCTCTCTTCACACAAATGTATAGCACAAGATAAGGAGAGCAATACTGATAATATGTCATAACAATAAGTCAAAAACGACCTGTATTCATTTCTCTAGACAAATAAGTTGTTAGCCATGGTTACATTAACATATGATGAACTGCTCACATTCCAGAATTCTGCACACTCACCAATTATACCACACTTGGGATAATTTGCATCTGTAATTGTCTGTAATAACAGATGAGGAGCCAGTAGATGTTTGACTCATGCTGTAACTAGCAGTTTTTTTTTTTCATTTAAAACAGCATGCCCATACCCGTGTTTTGCTACCAGAAACACATTTTTAAATGGCGAAATAGCTCATCAGTTATGAATTTCATACAATATTTAGCCTTTATCATCCTTCTAAGTGGTTGGTAATCTCTCACAGAATTCTGTACAAAATTTTCCATGCAAATCATAATAGCTGTGATCACAGGCAAAGCAACTGCTCTATGATCCAGGATAATTGTCTTTACATAATGTGATAAATTCTACTGTATTTTGTTTTTAAATACCAAGCCTACCATTAAGTAGCTGACAGGACAGCATGTAAGCACCTGTTTTTGAACAGGAAACATTAAGCAATTTGTAGGTAAGACACTCCCACCAAAAACAACAGAATTGCAACCTAAATTAGTTGATTTGTGGAGCATGCTTTAAGCAGTTTATTTTTTTTTGTTCAAGCAAAAATCACTGGAATCACATACAGTTCCCTTTTAAATGTCATTACTTTCTCTGTTGTAGGAACACTGATGTAGTACTGTACCACCCACCATGATTCTAAAAAGATAACATGACAAAAAACTCTGTGCACTATTAACTACCGGTATTAAAACAGTTGTATTAAAAATATGGTTAGCCAACATAACCCCTAAAACTACTGCATGGGGAATGGCCATACTTGTATCTATTAATGAAGATGTAGATGGGCGACATTTTATGCTACAGGATGCATTTAATTTTCTTTACCAGACTGTAGTAAGTTTGAGGGTGATGTCACTTTAATTGACAAGGCCTATTTTTCACTTTTTAGAAAACATTCAACTGATAAACAAATATGACAAGAGACCAAAAAATTTTACATTGCCAAAAATGGCTATTTTGATACTAAAAATTGCTTATCCACACTGTGGTATCATAAAAATGGCTCTGTGTGCATATTTGCAACCTATAGACAACAAATTGCCTACCTGTGATACATGGTAA